TGTATTTCCCAGATAACCTTAGATTTGCTGTCAGTCAACATAACTTAACTTAAGTTAGACATGGGTATAAGAAATCGCGTGGCAACAATTTAAATATGAATCCTTCAATGATTGCATTTATTTATGTTTTAGTTAATAAAAATTAAAAGGAGGGTAGATAGGGAACTTGAAGTGTTTTTAACCTCAAACCCCATCAAACAACCGAGTGGGGGGGGGGGAAACTCTTAGTTTTTACTTGCTTTTCAGGGCAGAAAATAAAACTTTAAACTATCTTTTCCATATATATATTTTTTCTTCTCTCTAGCCTTTCAGGGCTTCAGTAAAATATACAACAGCTAGTCAAATTCAAATATACTCATGATTTTGTCAAAATAGTGAGGTTTTTAAAGTGATATTGTAACTTAACCACTAGGGGAACTAGACCTTGAACTTCCAGGTTTTGCACCCCTCTAGGCCATAAGCATCACTGAACTGTAGCTAAATGAACCAGTCAGTTTTGTTGTTTTGGAATCTCATATCAGACCACTTTAGACCAGCAGATTGAGAAGTCATGGAGTTACTGATAGAAACAATGAAACATTCACTCTTCTAGATTAAATCCTACATCTGAGAACTAGTGATGGAAATTTCGAAGCCCCATGAATCAATGAACCAATTTGACAAAATTCTCCAAAACTCTTTATACATTTGATAAACTTTAGAATGGCGGCATCTGCTGGATAGCTAAGAGAACAAAAATTGAGCGGGTAGTCTAATGTCTGCATTATTTCAGGGCTGAACCCTTTTGGTCCATAATAACAGTACTGAAACTAAATAATGACTGACCTGAGAAATTGCAATACAATAAAAAGCCTTTCTGATAAATAACAGCTGCTTAGGAATGTGGTCCGGTCAATATGTCTCCAAATTGTAATTTGTTCTGGTTTCCAAGCTGTACAAACATGTTTGGCTGTTCTCTAATATTTGAGTGGGGGTGTCCTTAAATCTATATAAATACATTAATACATTATCCTTTAAATAGTTCTAAAGTATCCCACTCTGCCGCCCAGTAGTTCTCACAGGTTCTCCATATTACTCCTCTGGTTCTGACTAATGAAATTGATGGTATTAAAGGAGAATCACCAATAACTAAATAATGAAGCAATTTATCTATGGCCCTGGCTCTCCCTCCTTTTCCCTTCCTGGCTTTCCTCTGTCACATATATTTTACTACAACACAAGACCTTTTTTTTTTTTTCTTTAAAGGCACACCACAGATTTTGTGACCTAAAGAGTTGATGCATATGAGTTATTTTAAATGATTCCTCAGGCCAATATACAGCGGTTTTTGTTTATTTTTTTGCTGGTGTGTAAGTGGGTTGGCTCCGTAATGGTATTTAGAGAGAAAGCAAAGAACAAAGGAATGGAAAAAACATGAATCTGTGGCTGGATGTTAGAAAGGGCGACGGACAAAAGGACAATTGTGTGAAAAGCACAAAGCAGAAAAGAAGTAGAGAATTAGGATAAAAGAGAATAATTGCAGGAAAGGAGGCGGCTGGCTGAGATGGGTTGGAAATCGCAAAGTAAGAGAGGAGTTAAAGATGATGCAGCGATACAATGAAGGTTTAAACCATAACAAAAAGCAAGATGTGATGCAGCGAAGAACACGGAGGAGAATGGTGAAAGGAATGAGAACTGATGGTTGAAATGAAATGACGTCTGTGGGTGGAGAATCAAAGTGAAATAGGAAATTCTTTGTTCATCCTGTAACAAGGTGTTTCTGAGGGGGGGGGGGGGGTGGATCTTCATACGAATGATAAAAAAGATGAAGCTGCAGAAATCTGGTTTACTTTGAAAATACCAC